TTCCCTTCCTCCCACAACCTCTTTTTCCCCCATTTCTTTTCTTTCTTTTTAATTGTTAACTACATAACTAATACATGCTTATCAGAACAATTCATATAGCACAAAAGGATATAAAGTAAGGAGACTGGGTGAGTGATAGCTCATTCCTGTAATCCTAGCGCTTTGGAAGGCCAAGGCAGACGGATCACTTGAGTCCAGAGTTCGAGACCAGCCTAGGCAACATGGCGAGACCCTGTCTCTACAAAAAAAAATACAAAAATTTAGCGGGGCCTGGTGGCACACACCTGTAGTCTCAGCTACTCTGGGAGCTGAGGTGGGAAGATTGATTGAGCCCAGGAGGTGGAGGCTGCAGCAGTGTGCCAAGATTGCACCATTGCACTCCAGCCTGAGTGAGAGAGGGACCCTGTCTCCAAAAAAAAAAAAAAAAAAGTAGCCTTTATCTAGGCTATTAACATATACTGTTGTGTTACCTGCCTTTTAGGTATATATGTATGTATATGTGTGCATGTGTGTGTATATATATGTGTGTGTGTATATATATGTATGTGTGTATGTGTATTTTTGACAGCTGCATGATGTGTTCCATACTACAGATGAACTTTAATTTGTGAAGCCATTCTCTATTGATTATTCTGTTTACTTTGGCATCTTTCTCTTTGTTGCTATTTATATAACTTTGCTTAATGAGCATCTGGTGTTTGCCTTACCTACACTAATTGAGATGATTGAAGTGTATCTATCTAGTTTCAGTTTTCAAAAAGCAATAGTTATGTTTTTTTCTGTGACATTGAACAGTATTTTATTGAGTGATTTCTTGAAGAGTATTTTGTTTCTACAACTTGAGATCTTGTGAGTCTTTTCTAAACTTTTTGAAAAATCTGTCATCTTCCTTTCTCAGTTGTCAACAGATTATATTTTATATGTCAGTACTGATTAAGGATTAACTATTTCAATCAAATGTTTTCAATTAACATGTAAAGACAATTTAATAGTAGATTTTTCATAGGTGTTTAGACTGTAAAATCTTGTATATGTTAAATGCATATAGTGAAAAAATTTGAACCACAAACTATCAACAAGTAATTTGTAATTTTTCCGATAGAGCATTAAGGTAACTAACATAATTCCTGATGTCATAAAGAATAAAAAATGCCATATCTAGCTAGCAAGAGTCTCTTACAAAGCAAGAAGAAAACCTACCCCTATGTGATCTCTTATTCTAAGCAGGTGTGAATAAAAGAGGGATACTGTGGCAAAGTGGAAAAGCATAAGCTCCTTCTAATCCCTTCCTGCCATTTCCTAGCAGTGAAACCCTGTTTTACCTTTGCTCATACACAGTATGAATAGTAAAACCTCTGTGACAATATTCCTGTACAAACAAAAGACGATTAACGTATCCACAACACCCAGAGTGGGTCTCAACAAATGGTGGCTGCTATCGTGTTGCTGCCAAAGCTGCTACTCTGGCTTATGAGTTTTTAACTTGTTTTCTCTGTTTATTTTTAGAGAAATAGCTTAGAGAAGTGATTTTTTTTTTCATAGTTTGTAATTGAGAAAATAAAATGAGTTTTTTTTTATTCCAGCACTGATTGACCATGTTGACATAATTAAAACTTTCAAATCCTTGTTCACTGGCTGTGATAGAGTAATAATTTAGTTAAATCCCAAGAGCCAACCTGTCCTATTATGTTTAGAAGTGAATATACCTCCTGCCAGCTGTCCCTCCTTCTCTGCCGTTCTGTAGAGTTAGCTCTCTTCCCCACTGACTCCACACTGCACTTCCAACACTGGGGACCTCTCTGTTCAGATCTTACTTTACTTTTTGGCAGCATTCAGCATCGTTGGACCTTAACACCCTTTTCTCCTGACTTCTATGACATCATACCCTTCTGGGTTTCATGCTGCTTTCATGACCATTCCTTTTCTGGCCGTTTTCTCACTGCTCTGATCCTACTGATCTCCCATTCAGACCAGTCTCCCATACTGTTCTGGCTATTTTTCAAATATATCGGCAATACTTATTTTGGAAGATGTTATGTATTCCTACCTCAGGGTCTTAACACTGACCTTTTCCTCTGCCTGTCTTTTTGTTCCCTTTTTGCTCATGTCTCACCTTTTGAATGATGCTTATCCTGACCCCTGTTTAATTTCACTACCCTAGCCACACTCCTGTGCCACACTCTAGTTTTTCTTTCATAGCACTTACCACCTTCTAATGTACTACATTATTTATTTTGTTTGCACTTGTCTTCTCTGCTAGAAGCTCCCTGAAGACAAAGATCTGTTTTTCCCACAGATATACCGAGCATAGGACTAGGCACACAGCTGGCATTGTTGAAGTCACAGAGTCTGTCTGGGGTGTGTGTGTGTGTGTGTGTGTGTGTGTGTGTGTGTGTGTGTGTAAGTTGCCTCATTCACTTCCAAGGCTCTTTGTACACCGTATACCAGTCAGCCATAAATCTTCATCTCCACCTCTTTCTCCATTTCATCTCCACATTCACTGACTTTTCATATAGTGTCTAAAATATACAGTCAGAAAAAACAACTTTGCTGCCTTTGCAGTCATCCTCAGTTTTTCTCTTTCCTTCACTTAACAATACCCCACCTCCCCTCCAGTCTATCATCAGTGAGCCCCGTTGACACTTCCTCCCCTCCAGAACGTATCCCCAATCTGCTCACTTCTCTCCATCTCTGCCACACCTCCCGTCTTTGCCACCATCATCTTTCACTCAGACAACTGTGGCAGCCTCTTTGCTTTTCTCCTGCTTGTCCACCCTTGACCCTTTACAATCCATTCTCCACACTGGCTAGATTCATTTTCTTAAAGTATAAAAATGTAATTCAGATCCTGTCAGTGTCTTCCAGTGGCTTTCCATAGCACTTAGAATAAAATCCAAAGTTCATTATCTGACTTATAAATCTAACCCTAGTTGACTTTTCTACTTCTACAACTGTTTTCCTCTCATCCTACCATACTCTAGTCACAGAGGCCTTCTTTCATCTCTTTCAAATATGCCAGGCTTAGAGCCTTTAAACTAACCATCCACTCTCTCTATCCAGATTTCTTTTCCCCTTTTTGTGACATTAAGTCAGTGCTTAACTGTTGCTCCCTCGGGGCTTTTCCTGACAATCCATTCACTGAGTCATTGAACCTGTCTTAGTTCTTTGCATAACCCTTTTCCACTATCTCATGTAGTCTTTTGTTTATTGAGTTTCATCCCCCCGAGAATGTATGCTCCATGAGAGCATAGACCTTTTTACTGCTGTTGTGTGTAATACGTAGAACAGTGTCTGGTTCATAGTTAATGCTTAGTAGATATTTGTGGAATGAATGATTGTGTGAATGAACAAAGGGAGCAGATTTTTTTTAATTACAAATTTTGTAATACTTAAGTTATTAACTATCTGATTAACAATATCCTTAGGCAGAGTTGGAAAAAAATGAGTTTTGATTTTGGGGAAGGGAACACTAAGAAATATTTATTTTTCTATCTTTTAGCAGAATGCAGGAATAGTTATACGCCATCCCCATTTTTTTATTTATGTAGTGAATATTTTTAAAAATTTTTCTATAAGACCATTATTCAGCAGCAAAATTATTTCATGTATGGCTTTGTTTTTTGTTTTTGTAGCAAGACATGACAGATTTTCTTATAGTCTAAACATTGTCTATAGCAAAAGACAGCTTGAATGCCAAAATAATGTTTAATTAGATCTATTCATTATCTTGCCACATGCTAAGTAGGTGCTAAGGATTTATCACTGCAGTAAAAGTCACTGTATCATTACATTTATTTTATGGAAATATGATTTAAAATTTACAATTCTTTTTTGTAAGACAGTAACAAATTATTATGTAAAACTTACACCTCTGCCCAAGACTCTTGCAAATGTTTGCTCCTGATTTTGTAGAGATCTTCCTAACGATTGAATATTTAAAATTCAAAATGCTTTTTTTCTTTTTTGGAAAAATGCCTTCTGTAGATATATCTGGGCGAGAAAGCAATAAAATATAAAATATTTTATCAGCAACATCTAGTGTCAGTACTTCATGACTGTCAGTGTGTTGTACTGAAAAGTGTCATTGGTTTGTCCCAAAGAACGAAGTGGTGGCAGTGATAGCAGTATCTGTTTCTAACTTGTGGTTTATTTCTCATTTTCAAGATCCTGTTGCCACTGGTTTTTCTTCCCAGTGGTTGGTTAAAATTCAGAGTTGTTTCATGAATACATGACAGTGTGATCTTAGGAGCTTGCAGTTGCTCAGAAGCCAACCACACTTAGAAAGTCTGATGTAAATATTTGTACTGCAAGATGCTCTTTGTTGAGATACCAAGTCCCAGCAAAAAGTAGCATTAAACCTGATGACCACAGATACCATGGAGGAAAGGCACATTCTAAGACCTGAGCTTTTTTTCTGAAGCTGTGTGTAACTGATTCTATATTTTATTCTCTAAGTTAGGTGAAATCTCAAACTTTTTGAAAAGAGTCACTAAAAGAGAATGAAATCATGTCATTTGCATCAACATGGATGGAACTGGAGGTCATTAAGTGAAATAAGCCAGGAACGGAAAGACAAATAGCACATGTTTGCATTCTTAAGTGGAAGCTAAAAAAATGAATATCATGGAGGTCGACAGTAGAATGATGACAGTATAGGGAGAAGGGGAGCTGAAGAAAGGTTAGTTAGTGGGTACAAACATACAGTTAGATGGAAAGAAGAAGCTCAAATGTTAGATAGCAGAGTAGGGTGACTATAGTTAGCAACAATGTATTAAATGCATTTCAGAATAGCTAGAAGAGAGGACCTAAAATGTTCCCAACACAGAAAAATGATTAGTACTTGAGGTGATGGATCCCCCCAAATAACCTGAGTTGATCGTTATCGTTTCCATGCGGCAACAAAAGTATCACCTGTCCCCCTTAAATATGCATAAATATTATGTACCAATAAAAAAATTTTAAACATTAAAAAAATTTTTTTTAATCTTTTATCCTTCCAGCTGAATAGATTTCGTTTTCATTCTTCCTGAGAATAGAAGATTTAATGGAAGTTCCAGTATCTGTATGCAGGCCTATGACTAGCTTCACTTCTTGGTGACGATTACTAGTTGACAAAACAGCATATTCTAAACTAATTGTCTTCATTATCCAGTAGCTTTCCTATTCCTCATAACAAATGTTCCAGATCTTTGATTACTCACCTCAGAATGCTTGTCTCACTCCTCTTTTCCTCATTCCTCGCAGATCATACCTTGGAGAAGAAAATAGAAACTATCAGCCATGAACTTCATTAGCTTTTTCTTCCTCTTCAATCCAAATCTGTCTGTATCTTCATTCATTTTTCTTAACCCTTTCCTTGCTTGCTATTTCTTCTTTCCAAAACCAAGGAAGGAATTTTGACGGAAGTGTCCAAGGAATTCATTGGGGGAGAATGAATGATTCAGTAAATGATGTTATGATAATTAGATAGATAGCTATATGTAAGCATAAAAAATTTTTAAAAACCTTAGGCCCTTGTAATCATATGCACAAAAATTAAGTGGATTTATTGATTTAAATGTAAAAACAAAAAGTATAAAACTTTTAGAAAAAAGGTTGTGACATTGGGTCTGGCAAAGATTTCTTAGATATAATTAAATATTTATAAAAGAAAAAATTGGTAAACTAGACTTCATCAAAATTTAGAAATTTTGCTTTATCTATGTAGGACACTGAAGAGAATGAAAAGACAAGTCACAGACTGGGAGAACATACAGGCAAATCACATATTTGTCAAATAACTCATAGCCAGAATATATAAAGAACTTTTACAACTCAATAATAAAAAGACAAACAGCTCAATTTTTTAAATGGGGGAAAATTTTAAATATATTTCACAAGAGAATATACTCAAATAGCCAGTGAGCACATGAAAAGATGTTCAGCGTCATTAAACATTAGCAGACTGCAAATTAAAACCACACTGAGGAACCCACTAGAATGGCTATAATGAAAGACTGTCAATATCAAGTATTGCAGAGGATGTGGAAAAACTCAAACTCTGTTACACTGGTAATAGAAATATAAAATGTTACAACCACTTTGGAAAGAGATTGGCAGTCTCTGGAAAAAATTAATTGTAAAGTTGACCAAGCAATTCTACTACTTAAGTATCTTAAGAAGAATGAAAACGTGTCCATACAAAGATGTGTACTAAAATGTTGATAGCATTATTCATAATCGCCTAACAGTGCAAATGTCTGTCAACTACTGTGAATGGATAGACAAAATGTGCTATCAATACAGTAAAACTACCCAGCAATAAAAAAAAAAATTGACTGATAAATGGTATACGATGACCGAATTTTAAAACCTTGATGCTAAGGAGCCAGACACAGAGACTACACATTGTATAATTCCATTTTTGTGAATTTCCCAGAAAGGCAAATTATAGAGACAAAACAAATCAGTGGTTGCCTAGGGCTGGTGGTGGATGTGGAGATTGATTGTAAATGGGACATGAGGGAATTTTTTTGTGGTGATAGAAATGTTATAAAACTGGATGTGGTAATAGTTGCACAACTCTGTAAATTCACTAAAAGTCACTGAACAGCACACTTAACCATAGGTGGGTTTAGTGAAATGTGAATTGTACTGCAATAAAACTAAATAAAAGCTGAGTTAGTACCACTTGCCTCGGGTTCATTACTTTTTGTTCATTCTTAATTATTCCCTTCACAGTTACTCCCCACTCTTCCCCTACCTGTCTCCATATTTCTTTACTATTGAAAATTATTTTCAGTAGTTTTGCCTCCTGAGTTCACTGCCTTTTAGATCACATTTAGACCATGGGTTTCTATCACCACAAAAAAATTCCAAAATCTGGGTCCAAATTTCAATTCTATTCACTTATCTGTGTGACACAGAATAAGCCTCTGAGTCTCTGTATCCAGATTTGTTTACCAGGTAGAATATTAATAAAATCTATTACATGAGGATTTGTGAATATTAAATGAAGCCATATATTTGAGACATTCTATAAGTGCTAGCTATCATTCATCACCTTAAAACAAGACTCATAAGTTGAAAGGCTGTGAACTGGTGAGCATCTAGAGGAGTGGCTCTTAATCAGAGCAAACTCAAACTTTAGGGAGATTTTACAGACTGGCTCCACTGATGGGTCAGGTTGAAAGGTTTCTGGACCCTGGGAAGTACATGTGTGTGTTTGTTCTCCAGCTTCACAGATGATTCTGCTATAACCTAATGGTAAACAAAACAACAACAGATTGCAGTGCAAGACTCAGCCCATAGAATGTACAAACACCAATTTTGAACCCTAACAAACTGTGGTCTCTGGGTGATAACGATGTGATAATGATAATTGCCGTACAAGGCTCATGTATTCATTTCCAGTCTTGCTCCTCCCATTCCCTCCCTTTGGTTAGGTATCAAATGGAAGGCAGATACATTTAAGTCATGAGCAAGATCCACCCATCTCATGTATGTACATGCAGTGGGACAAATGCACTAACACTGTATAAAGTCTTCAGAGGATACTCAGTTGTCATAGAAATAAGTTATATCTTTGGTTGAGTTTTTAAACATTCATTCTCACGGGTAGTATTTGGGAAACACTATATCAGGTTTTACTGGTAGAGAAAGGGTAAATCAGTAAGTTGAAGAATAAGTGATATATAAGGATTTAAAAAAGAAGGCCTCAGGTTTAAGGGATATATGTAATTACAAGATCTCAATTTTAAATCAGAACACTGAAGTTGGATGGATGGGAGACAGGAAATGCATGTTAGAGAGCAGTTTAGTGATATGGAGGAATTCATACAGTGAATTTGAAATGAGTAAGTACTATGCCAATGTGACTGGAATTACTGCCTCTTTACCTGTCTTCATTTACCTGTTTTTGTATCTATCTGTTTCTTAGAGTTAACTCCCTCACTCTTCTATTTTCCAGGGTCTAGAACACTTCTTGCCATCTGCTTCCAGATTCCATCTCAGAATAATTAGTTTTTATCTCTTTCTTTCTTCCCAGTGTTGACAGCCGTCACTTTCTAGTATTCACATTGTCAGTACCACAAGGTCTCCAGTCTCCACACCACCAGTTCCCAGGTCCTCCACTGTGCCACATCTCAGCCTTGACCTGGCTGTTTCCTCCTCTTTCTCTCTCCTGTCTAGTCTAGATCCTTAGTATTCATCTAGGCATTTCAGAAAGTTCACCCCTCTCATAAAGAACTTACTAATTGCCTTCCTTAGAATGCTTCATCTCTTTCCTGTAAGTTCTCTAGGACACTAAAGCAACTGTCTTTTACTGTAATACTTAGTTATATGTACTCTTGCCTGGTCATTCCTATTAGTTGAACTCTTTAAAAGCAGAGATAGTTGTACTCATTTTTGTTCCCATTGTGCATTGCAGTGTACCGTAACTCATATATAACATGTTCTCAAATAATAGTTATAGATCACAGTTAGATTTTTTATTTGTTTCTTTTTAGTGAAGAGTTTTCACTTTCTCATTTAGGAATCATAGAGCTTTCTTTGAGTACTGTAGGTAACTTATTCTTCGTACAGAACTACCCCCCCATACATACAGTACTTAGAGACACATAACATATGCGTATTGACACATTTTAATTTGTGCGACCTTTTATAACCTTGTCTCAGGAAGGGCCTTAGCTTAGCTGTTCCCATGGGATGCCTATCTCCTATGTCTTCTTGCCTTCCCACACCCTACCTGTCAGGAGGCAGGAGGGTAGAGGACTGTGAGGCTACTGTTCTCAAAAATGAGACATTTATATAGAAGGGTGATTTACAATAGGGAAGTAATAAGAGGTGACCAGGAAGGCTTGGGAAGAAGGGAAAAGCTGTGATTAGCATATGGGCCCATTTAAAGATGGGTCAGCCCCATTCTGTCAGTGACTTGCTATCCTGAGCGGGGTGCATGTCAAGTGTTCAGACACTTCCTATTTTTGCTCATCTACCCAAGGTGAAAGTGGGAAGTAGATGTGAAAGAGTTGTCTAGCTGGTTTTAGTGGGGCTGTACGAGATCTAGATTTATGGAGGAAGATTAAAATGGAGCAGAGGAAAAAACTTCTTGACCATATTTTCATCATCCCAAACTAATGGCCTTTGCAGCAATTTACTTAACAAACTAGGTGAATTATGTATTTGATGGCATAAATATGCATACACAGAATATTTGGTTGGTTTTTGTGGCATTTTTGTAAAACTGTTTCTCAAAAATACAACATTCTTTAAAGACTTTTTTATAGGTTTATCAGTATTTGGGTGACGTATAATTTATAACTCAATTATTTAATATGTAAACAACAGATAAAAATCCTATCACCATAGTTTGAAGATAGCAAACATTTTAATAAATACATTGAACATTTCAGTTTATTAGTCTTTATTAATGTTTCCAAAGGAGAAATTAAAATACCACTGCATAGTTTTCAGATTGTTTTACTTGGTGAACAGGCAAGAGGACAGAATAAGAGATTGAAAAGTGAAATAAGGGTAGTTTATAGTTTGTTTAATTTATCAATGGTCCTATTTACATTTTGGGATCACATCTTGGACGTTTTGCAACTTTCAATTCATTCTAGCATTTTGGGATTCTTATGTTGACATAGTTAATTCTATATTGAAACCTAAGGACTTGTTATTTAATAAACTTGTAGAAATAATCATTTCCAGTTAAATGAACCACAAAAATTATGAGGTTAAAAACAAATCAGTTATCATTTAGTAGTTCTGTATTGTCAGTTAATGATCTTTATTACATTTGCAGCTTTCTGAGTTTATTTGGAAGTAGGTCATCACATGCTGAGATGAAATACCAAGTCATTTAAATTAGATACTGAGCATGCTCATATGAAGTACTTACTCTTGGAGACTGCGGTGTGGTTCAGTTTTCTTATAGTGGAAAGAGCAGAAAAGAGATCACGGTGTGCCCCTTTGTCATCATTCTGTCAGAAAGCATGTAATTTGTCTTTAGAAACCAGAAGCCTGAGACAAAGAAAAGAACGCAGATTTTTAGCAAAAGGCTATTTGGTGAGTTAATTGGCTGTTTTCTTCTATTTTGCTCTAATCGGTCAGTTATTCCTAGCTAGTCTATGTCTTTACTTGTATCTGCTGCTTTTTTGTACTGTGCTGAAGCTTTATGTAGCAAGTAACTTAGCTGAGATTGGGAGAAAATTGTTTCTGCAGTCTAAATCTTATTCTTCTGAAATATTTCCAGTACATTTCTGAGGTGACAAGTTCATAAATTGCTATGATGATACTTTCTCATGTTCTCCACAAATTTTCTTTGCTCACTTGTGCTGAATAATGCTGGCAGATTTATGTGCCGAGATACTTCAGGATTTGTCTTTTTGGACAGTTTAGCATTTTTGTTCTTACATCTTAAATGAAATTACAGTTTTTGCTTTCACATTTCTATACTGTATCTACCAAAGTAATAGGTAAGAAAGATCAAAAATTCTTTAAAGAAAATGAGAGGGTGTATTACAGTTATATGTATACATATTATTAAAAAGGTGGTTCAAAAATGAAAGTTTGCTTTGTAATACAGTTGATCATTTACACTATCCTAAAATGAAATGAAATTGACAACATTTTGTAAAATATAAGGTGTTACAGTTATTCTGTATTCATATTTAGAATTCTATCTTAATTTATTGAATTAGCTACGTAAGTGTTGCATGATAATAGTTTTGCCAGTTTAGGCTGTTACTTTCTCTGAGCTCATATTATCAATGAGTGATCAATAGGAAGATAATCTTATTTAAATGTTTTGTGATTTTTAAAAAAACCGAAGTGTTCATGTTTTACCATGAAGTTAAAGGGGGATATTTTTGTGCATTTTCTCCATATTATGCTCTTATAATGTTATATAATATTTAAAATCTATACATTGTTATTTCATGATGAACACAATTTTGATTATGTATTTATAATCGGTAAACTTGGCAACCAAATATTCAGAGTCTTCTCCTGGAGATTAAAATAGCATTACTCTGCTGAAGGTACAACATTATATTTTTTGAAGATTTGAAGAAAAAGCATAAAATTACCATATTTATTTCCTTCAGGGAAAATCATGTTTGTTAGTACACATAATGTCAGGTAGAGAATTTGAGACATATAAGGTGCTTTAAAGAGGTCTAGAAAAATGATGTGGGGGGTGGGAACAATAGGAAGAGACTACTGAAAGCTTAGTACCTTCAAATGCCAGGCAATTATGTGAGGCTTTCCTGAAATATCTTCATTTTGTGAACTTCCCCCACTATGCCATTTTCCAGGATTGGCACTTGTGAAGGAGGTGGGTGTATACTTAAGCTTATATATTCATGAAAAGGGAGGGTTAGCGTTTAGAGATGAGGACTGGGTGACAGGACTCAAGAAATCTATTCCCACTTCTTTACACTGACTCACTTGTTTGACCTTGCACATGATGCCTACCTTATTTATTTCTACCTACTTTTAGTATAATACTTTACCATGGCGATAAAGTGGTTCATTTATAGTTTCTGAAGTAATAAAATTATTTCACAGACTGTGACAAAGATTCATGAGGGGATAAGTCATTCACTAATAGCCATTGTGGGAAGAAAACAAACAAGTATTGCTTCTCCAAATTCTATTAAATTTTTTTAACTGAAATATCTCAAGTG